AAAGATCTTCACGACATACGACGTATGTTTATATCGATCCTTGCGCGCGTTGACTTACGATTCTGTCGGAAACAGTTATAGGCCTTTTACAATAAGCCATTACCATCTAAGTTTTAAGTATTAAGTCATAAGAAATTGACCACTCACAGTCGATTATTCTTCTCACATTCGATTGTGATTGATAAATTTCTTATAATTTAACACTTAAAACTTAAGTAATGGCTTATAATTCACGATAATTCTAGCATCGGAATTAGAGAATTAAAACTGCCTGTATGAAAGATGTATGTACAAGCTGACCCACTCATATAATAAAATTTTATAATGCTGTTAAAAGTAAAATTAAAAAATTTTAATTTTTTGTACATAGCCCAGCAAACAAGAATGAATTAAAATGGATTGGACATTTTGTCTATTCGAATGCGTATTTTAAACAGCGAAAACTTTTAATTGGATTCAATTAGATTCAATTAGATTGAAAAATTGCGTTTTCTATTCAAAATTTTGAATTGAACAGTATTTACGATGTACTGAAAAAGTTGATATTATTTTTAGATTGAAAGGCATACAAATATGCTCCGTAAAATTCCTATAAAATATATTCAGGGTTGAAAAAGATTCATTTTCACATTCATGAATCCGTATATAATATTTCTAAAAATCTGAATCCATTTTAACCATTTCAATCTATTTGCGTTTTTTTGTTAGGAGTTACCGCTCTCTGCCGAACCTCGTCACGAACTAAATGTGGTGGACAACTTCATGGTTTCTTACAGATCTGTATAAATCTTCAAATTTTGATTGAACAGAATAAAAAATTCTTTAACGCGCTCCTTGAATATACCCTATAAAAGCTGCTCTATGTTTCTTATTTGTAGTATGTACAATATAATTTTTGGATTTGTTTCTTTTCATTATATATTTTTTTTTTTTCAACATTCCTCTTTACATGCAAAACCTCTATTTTAGAATGGAAAATGATGCAAATAGTAAAGAAAATGATAGGAATAATAAACAAAGAAGAAAACATTAATAATAGCAAAGAAATTATTCGTCTTAATTCGAAACAATCAAAGAATCATAAAGAATTAATATATAAGCTATACGATTGTATTATCACTTTAATAGCATAGATTTTTCTTTTCACATTAAACAGTTCACGATTTTAAAAGAAGAACGTTCCAGAGTTCGATGTGACGGCATCGTAGATGAAGGTATTATGAACAGGTTTATACTGGTTCGTGATGAGTTTGATGGTTTCATGCGCTGCAAGCGCACCTAAATATGCCGAAACAGAGTGCAATTCCGCGCCACCGAATCGGCAAAGCTCGTGCACGTAATCGTCTTTGGCTAATGGACCACATCCCCATTCGCTCAATAGCTTTGTGAGGCATGTCTGTAATATGATGTGATTGTAGAACAATTATAACACAATAATTACATCATGCATATAAAAAAGATAGTACTTTCAACTTTACGATATCGGGTTCTACTTGATCATCAAATTCGCCGGGATACGAATTATATTCTGTCTGGAATTTATCAACTCCCCGAAGCATGACGTAATAAATCATCATACTCTCTGGATTCTCTAAATTTTGAACTGTAAATTATGAATTAGTTAAGACCACGTTTCCACTGAGCACGTCACGCGACGCATCGTCGAGAGAACGAGGAGTTATATACTAACTTCTTTCATTCTTTCTTTTACGACGCAACGCATAATGCACTCGGTGGAAACACACCATAAGAGTAGTACATATTAGCAGTTACTAATTACAAGAAAAAATTATCTAAAAAGTTATAATTATATTTTCTTATCATATTATAATTATAGTTATAATTCAAATACTTTTTATTATTATACATATAAAAATATAACTTGTTTAATAATTATAAATTATAATTTTATATTTTTTAAGAGACAATTACCTATTATATTGGTATCAAAAACTTTAGGATCGTACTCGTCTGCAATACAGCTTCCTTTTTCTACGTGAATGTTAGCAACGTGTCTACAAAATAGTTTAACATCTTTTTCTAAAATTGAATCTGACGATCTTCCCAATTGTCGTAATAATTGTAAAGTGCGTCTCCATACAGCTTCCACATCTGCTGTTGCTTGTTTATGGTAACTAAAATAGATTGGATATCATATACAATTGATTTGTAACAACAGATTGAAAAATAATGCACGAAAAAGTATTGTAACTTTACCTTACTTAACCCTAGAGTACATTAATGTTAATTAAACAAAAGTTTAAATGTTTTTAAAATCATTATTGTAAATATATTAATTAAAGCGGTGAATATAATTATATAACCTGTTCATAAAATTTTAAATATATATTTGTTATATTTTTGATAATAAACTTACTAATGAAACACTTATTTGTATTGATATAGAAGACTAATATACTTTTTCGTGCATCATTAAACTGTCATTTCAGGATCAATATTATACATTTGTTGGAGTGCAATGTATTTTTCAGTGTCCGCAGTCATGTCAGGCAGGTTACCCTTAAGTGGTAGTAGTCCTTTCCCTTCATTATCGACAAAATCACGCACCGCTTTTGCAATAATCCAGAAAGAGCTGCTCTAAAATATACCAATCAATTTTCAAATGGTACATGAATCATATATAAATAATATAGAGAATATTTCATCGCGATACCTTCGCTGTTAAATTGACGCAACGATCATCATTTAAAATATTTATAACACTATCAGGAATATCGCTCACTCTTAAACATTTATTTACAGAGTTCATAGCTTCTTCAAAATTTTCTTCACTATTAGATGAATCGTGTTCATCACGCCTTATGCCACTCTTTATCACGTCTTTGAGCTGCTGTTTCTCTTTGTAAGTTTTTGGTAAAGTACCATGCTCCAAAATCCATTTTTCTAAATATTTGTATAAAATAATTAAATATGGTACATGGCAATGATCTTTGAAGCTCATTTCATCTAGATTAATGGAATCTATGTGCTTTTTCAAGCTATCGAATGGCCTGTCTAAACGTAAATCTAGTGTTTCATTATCTGGATGAGTTTCTACAACTGTGTGCTCCTTAACTTGAATCCGCATATATGCAACAAAGCCTAGGCTCTTACATATTATTAAAGGAATATTTAGTTCCCAAAGTCTTTTCGACAGAAGAATCAATGTTCTGAAAATATTCCCAAGAATACATTTATTATGTTTGTTCTAACATTAGAAATACTTAAAAAATATGTTCATACAGTTTTATTATAGATTATAATCTGCAATTGCTACTCTTACTTTTCAGTCAGTGCAGTCGCCACAACTACGGTGAAGCTGTTAAAAAAGTCTGGGCTGTTAGATAAAATTTGTTCAGGCTCTTCATCGATATAATCACCAGTCACATCTGGATTCATTTCCAAAAGCATTTGAGTAGCTACTTGTGCTCTAGATTTCCCAACAGTATCAGTTTCTAGAAAAAAACTAAGCCAAATTCATTTAATGTGTTGCATCAAGCTACATTTTGAGATCCTGCTTTGTAAGACAGTATATATATACTTAGTCCCAATATCCTCCTCAGTGATTTTTTTGCCATCGACTATGGTGAACGCTCCTATACCTGGAAGCACAAGTGATTTCAGTACCTCCGTGCCAAGTCCAGTGGCATTTATGACACAGACATGAGCAGTTTCTAAAGATGCTTGACCATGATCGCCCCATAATCTGCCAGAAGCAAAGATCAGATAATAATCAAATGTCATAATAATCAAAAATATCTTATAATATCTTACATAAGAGAAAAACAAACTTTTAAGAAGAAAATAAAAACAGTGAGTTAAAATTCTCTATTAAAAAGTCAGAAAGGTAAGTTAATCAAAGTCGTTAAAGTTGTTAATCGTAACCTCTAACACATAGTTGGTGTTTACCTCAACTGGCGATCGTATTTACGGTTTTTCTCGGATTGTTCAGGCGATTTCGACTCAGGGGATGCCATCAAAAAACGAATTTGAAAGAACAATAAGGTGACAGGAAGAACCTCGAGGAAAGAAAGGCAGAGGATGCACACTGCACAGCCTTAAAACATACATAGAGTGCGCATCAGTGCGCATTGCCTACAGCCTACAGCCCTTCCTTCAAAATGTGTATCCAAGATAAGCGTGAGAGAGAAAGATATATCAAAGAGAAGCTAGATCAGATTTTTGCCATCGGATTGGCCGTGATATTGGCACTTTCAGCACCGTAGAGTCCTAGATATCAGAGAAGCGCAACCGACTTAAGTCAGTATCGCAAAATTACTAAGAAAAGTAATAAAAATGGCGTCGTTTGCAGACGAAATATGAAATCCACCAATCGTCTATTAGTCAGCCATTTTTAATACCACTGAATGAATGTCATGATTGACTGACAGTCAGCTAATCAGGACGCGGAACATCGGTTGCGCTTCTCTGATATCTTCTAATTGCGCCTAGTGTGAACTAGGCATTATAGGCCTTCTTCATCATGCTCTCTGACCACATGCGCATGCGCTTGGTTACTTTTCCATGTAGACAGAGGTAGAGTCCTAGATATCAGAGAAGCGCAACCGATGTTCCGCGTTCTGATTAGCTGACTGTCAGCCAATCATGACATTCATTCAGTGGTATTAAAAATGGCTGACTAATAGACGATTGGTGGATTTCATATTTCGTCTGCAAACGACGCCATTTTTAATACTTTTCTTAGTAATTTTGCGATACTGACTTAAACCGGTTGCGCTTCTCTGATATCTAGGACTCTAGACAGAGGAATGTGTGGACAGTAGAGTGTGTTCCCACAGTTGGATATTTGTTGAAAGTGAGAAAGAGAGGTCTAGTACAAAAACAGAAAACAGACCAATGGTTGCACATCGCTGAAATGGAGCCAATCAAAAATACACTGCACGAACAAAACTCCTAAATATACTCGTATCTCGATGTCGAGATAATTTTTTTGTTAAGTCAGGTTGGTATTCGTGTGGTCTTGTGATCGAACAGCTGAAGAAGGCAAGGAGGACAAAGAGAAGGTATTAAGTACTTGGCTTTCCGTGAAATTATTTTTTTAATCAACGTGAAATCTCGACAGTAATCATGGTGGACCGTGCAAACAGTATCAAACAAATGATTCCGGCATTGCCGGATGAGAAAATCGGTAATTATGATTGTTATGTAAAGAGGAAAATTATCAGTATAATATTGCCCCTCCCAAAACGATACGATTTATTTTTATGACTAACAATTATATTATTCTTATTGCACACGCTAGCTCTTGTATCTTATTTACTCAAAATTTATTTTACTAAGTCTTATATTTTATGCTTAACATTTAAGTAACAATTTATGTGATTTTGCAGATATGCTGGCAGCTACAAGTGTGCTCCAGCAACAAGCTGCTGATATTAGAAATCAACGAATTAATTGGCAATCGTATTTTCAGTAAGTAATTATATATGCGTTAAATTATGTCTGACAAGCCCAGTTTAAGAATTTTAGGATATATTGGTAACTTGATAATATTTAAATTTAATAAATTTAAGGATACTAGCAAGCTATAGAATTATCTATGCAAGAAGTGTTGGAACATTTTAAAACATTTGATGTTTACAGATCACAAATGATATCAAAAGAAGATTATGATTTTATAGCAGCCTTTGACTCAAGCGATGCTAAAACTAGAGAAAACAAGCTGAAAGAAAATCCACACCAGGCAGCTAAAACGTTCCTCAATTTGCTTGGTCATGTTTCAAAGGATCAGACAATTCAATATATTCTCACAATGATTGATGATATGTTACAGGTATAGCTATATATATTATTATTTTCAGGATTGGAAAACATTTCAATATTAAAAAAAAAAGCCTAATTCAGTAGAATTTTATTGGATTTTATTAGTTTTTATCTTTTTGGAATTTTTTATAAAATTCATTGATATTATTTACTTATTATATTTAGTTTATATTGTATTAATTATTATTTAATTACATATTCAAATAAAATTGATTATATGAGATAATTAATTATATAAGAGAATATTTCATAAAAGTATTAATTTCAGATATAAAAAAACACTTCTATGAGACAAAAAAATATTAAATTATCAGTTTAGTTTATTCAGTATATACATAAAAATGAAAAGTTCAAGCCATGTTCAAAATTAATTAAAGGTGCCAGTTTAAAGTGAATATACTTAAAGTGTATGTAACTTTTGGCGGATTTTCTAATCGCCTCCGTCTTCCGCTGTCCCCCTCACCTCACCGCACGCGGTCCAAAAGCCGCTCGAGCATTTGATCTGCGCGCGGGGCAGTGAAGGTGACAGCGGAAGGCGGAGGCGATTCGAAAATCGACCGAAAGTTATATACGGTTTATGTATGTTCACTTTGAACTGGCACCTTTAATTAATAATATATCTGTTACTTTTCATGGTAATATATGTATTGTTAATAGATAAAAAGGTTTAAATATTTGTGTATCTTTTTTTTAACATGGCTTGAACTTTTCATTTTTATGATACAATTTTTTTTGAATATCATTTACTTTTTAGAGTACAAATATATAAAAAATATAGTTTAAAAATATTATATAACGAAAGAGGGGCGATGGGAGGGGGTGCGGTGGGGGTCGAAGATGGTGGAGGGTGAGTGAAAGAGAGGGGATGTTAAAAAGTCATAATTTCGGACGGACGGACATACAGACAGACAGACAGACAAAGAAAGAGTTTCTTAATTTTTCATTAGAATCATCACTTTTCGACCGCTTGTATGTCCAGAATGGCTTGATCGATTTTAAATTTTTTGGCTCAAATTACTCGTGGCGATGCCGCCTTTCAGGACATATAACGTTCGATTCAAAATTTTTTATATTTTAGTAGTTATGCACCCCCGAAAAATGGACTTTGGTGGCTCGAGATAAGAGACTTGTAGTATCTATTATTAATCTTTTAAACTAACTTTTAAATTAACTAGTAATTTTTTTAACATGGTCGAGACACTACCGCGTCTTTCCTGATATATTCATTAAATATTTACAAATATTTTTTTATTAATTTCTGATTAAAATCATTTATTTTTCTACAATTCTAATAAAACCAAAAAAAAAACTGGATTTTTGGGGTAAGATAATACCAACTCTGATTGTTTAACTTATTAAATTAAATAAAATTCTATTTTTATTATATATAGGGGAGAGTAGTCTAAATCGGACCTATTTACAGGTTTTGTTCCCTATAAGGCATAAATAAAGTCCGATTATAAAATCAATGATGCCGTTCGAAAGATCATTTAATTTCTTTCATTTTTACTTTAGACCATTTTGACATATCTTTTACCTGTATCGAACTATAATGAAAAATGTAAAAATGCATTTTTTCAGTCCGATTTGAAATCATGAGTTTTTATGAACTTTTAGATAGAATTTTAAAATATTTTAATTAATTTTTATTAATATTAAGTAAAAACGAACAATTTAAGACTCAAAGATAAAAATACAGTTTATATTATTAGAATTAAAATCAATAAAATATTCTATTAATCTGAGTCTGATAACACATGATATTTTATTGATTTAGTGTCCCTTAGACCAGATCTGGTCAGTCGATCACCAGTACTACAACCAGGTCACAGTATAGGTAAGTACAGTAGTTTCACTCTCCAAAATTTATGGGTGCGCGAATCGCATCACTGTCATCATGGCGTCGATATCACGTATGGATACTGTGTCATTGTGTGTCACTATGGTGTCGAAGTGTGCAGTGTAAACAAAGGCCTCGCACAATCAACAACATGGCTGACTGTAGGACACATAGATCAAAGGTACCGACATGGAGTGAAACTACTGTACTTACTTTATACTGTGACCAGGTTGTGGCCTTCTTTCCTCGATGAATTAGCTGGCTTACTCGTCTTTATTGTGTTTTTTGTATAAATCCTATTTGCGTGCGTGCGTGTGGACACTCAAAGAGAGGTCTGATTTGAACACGGGTTCTTTCAAACTATTGGAACAAATTTTACAATAAACCGCAAAAATAATCACAAAACTCTTGATATTTTTAAATGCTACACTCTAATTATTTTAATTACCGTTCAAATTTTTAACATTTTTTATATAATGATTTACAAGGATTTTTTTTTTTTTAAATTGTATGATAGTCGAAAATACGTATTTGCATCTATTCTATGAACATTATGATAAAGTACTGTCAAACTGCTATCATATGTTCGGTGTCTTATAAGTATTACATTATAAATAGAACGCAAATCTGCTTAACCGTATTTATTTAAATTAGAAAGATCCGATTTGGAACACGGTCCGATTTAGGACATTCTCCCCTATCATTTTCATATTTTCGATAAAAGATATTCCCATTTATTAATAGAAGTTGTTATATTTATAGGAGGATCGCAGTCGCGTGGAAATCTTTCGCGAACACTCTACGCGCAAACGAGAATCTGTTTGGGGGCCATTCCTTAATTTGTTGAACAGGCAAGATGGCTTTATAATGAATATGACATCGCGTATTATAGCTAAGTTGGCTTGCTGGAGTCACGATCTCATGGAGAAAACTGATCTTCAGTTTTATTTAACATGGCTTAAGGATCAGTTGAAACTTAGCGTAAGTTTAACAGATTATTGTACGTATATTGCATATGTCAAGAAATTGGAATTGTAATGTAATAAGATGGATCACTTATTTTATAAATATTTTTCTTTCAAAATATCAATAATTTATAATAATCAGTTTAACCACACACACGCGCACGCACGCACATTCTACGGCCACACACATGCACATGCCTACACCCACACGCACATAATACGGTTGAACTGATGATATATATTTTATATTTATAATATAGAAATATAAATATTATTTAAAATTGTACTCTCTAATGCTCTAATATAAATCATTTGGATTTAACTTATAAAATATATTTTTATTTTTCAATTGAAAATACAAATATGTTAGTTTTGCTATCTACATCTATAATATTAATTCTTTTTAAATGATTTAATTTTTTTATATATTGAATAATGTATATATTTGTTTTACAGCCATATAGTCTATGTTTAAGGACTAATGTAGTGTTAGTTATTTTATCTATTATTGTCTATATATATTTTATCTATTATTGTCTATCTATTATATAATCGAAAACCTTATTAACTGCATGCAATGTCTATTTACTAATTGAGGTATCTTACGTTTGACAATTTCTGTAAAAATAATCATGCATCTCTCATATTTATATTTAATGAAAATGATATTTAGCAACTTTGTTAAGAATTTAATGCTTTTTTGCGATACTAACACCGATTTAAAATTTTATACAATTTATGTTTCATAAAAAAATAAATATTTTTTAATTAAATATCTCATTTATAACATACTAATCCGATGGATTGTGGCAATTTGGAGATTATTGGAATTTACATAAAGGTTTGTGTGTGGAAAATTCATAATAGTCGTAAATTAAATATAAGCATAACTAACCAAATAAAACAATAAATTATTCTGCAACTGACAACTAGATACTTTTACTTCCCGCGCTGAAGCTTCAAATATGAGTATTTTAAATTACAGTAGAATTTGTAATAGATACGAAATAAGAGATGGGGTTTTATAGTTCGATGCTCTTCAGGATTATACAGACTTGCATGCGGGACTAGAACAAGATGCTGTGGAGCAGGCCAAGGAGGCCAATGAACTGCACGAATTGTTCAACCCGGTTGGTTTTTTAACGACTAATCACAGTAGTATTACTTATTATTCTAAACGAATTAACACGAAGTATGTTTTTTAAATTACATTTTATCAACAAATAAGCCACTAATATTTGTTGAAATATTTAATATTGTATACTTGCTTATTATTCTAAACAAATTGTGAAGTTTTTTAAATCACATACTGCCAATAAATAAGCTCCTAATAATTCATCGGATTATTTAATGATGTTTCGTATATAAAAATTATCTCTTATAAATCTTTTACGTTTAGAATTGATGAAAGTTTGATATTTAAGTAAAGTACAGATATGCATGATTTGTGCTTTATAAGAGCCTATTTTATGTGAATGTTACGTTTACACATGCGAATTCCTTAAAACCTTAAACCAATTTTGAAACTTATAAAATCTACTTTGTTTTTCTCGATAAATGTTAATGCCCGTTTCCACCAATGTAGATTAACTTTAATCTCGGTTTAACTTACTGTTCATCTTTTTCTAATTTTTAGAACTAGAAAAAGACGAAGAGCAAATTGAACCGAGATTAAAGTTAATCTACATTAGTGGAAATGGGCATTAATCTTTCTTTCCTTTTTGTGGATCAAATTATTTTACCATCGTACTTTTGCATGTAGCAACGTGTTTAATAAATGCTTATCTTTTAAATTAAAGCAAAATTCACTGTCTTTGTTTCTTTCTTATCTTTATATTTTTATAAAGAAAAATCTATATATAGAGTGTATATATTATTAATAATATATACAATATACATATTATTTTTATTTCATTTAGAACAACGAGTACATTCAATCAGTGGCACGATGTCTACAAATGATGCTTCGTATAGACGAATATCGCTTTGCATTTGTGTCTGTCGATGGAATTTCAACCCTCCTCAGTGTTCTATCTGGCAGAGTAAACTTCCAAGTACAATATCAGCTTATTTTTTGTTTGTGGGTACTTACTTTCAATCCTCTTTTGGCAGAAAAGATGAATAAGTGAGTAGCATGTTCTTTGTTTCCAGTTTTACTAAAGATATTCTAGAGTAGATCATATTTTCACTATTATTATAATGTTGTCTTACATGTTATATCGCAGATTCAATGTAATACCCATTCTCGCTGATATACTCAGTGATTCAGTCAAAGAAAAAGTAACACGTATTATACTTGCAGTGTTTAGGGTAAGTTGGAATGTGTTGTAGAATAAAATAATAATTATCTCATAATTGATATTTTTTATATTAACAGAATTTGATTGAAAAAGTAGAAGATGGACAAGTTGCTAAGGAACATTGCATCGCTATGGTACAATGCAAAGTATTGAAACAGCTTTCGATATTATGCCAACGAAAGTTTGACGACGAGGACATCACTGATGATATTGAGTTCCTCAATGACAAACTGCAAGCATCCGTACAGGATCTAAGTTCATTCGATGAATATTCGACAGAAGTAAAATCTGGTCGTTTAGAATGGTCTCCTGTTCACAAATCGGGCAAATTCTGGCGCGAGAATGCTAGCCGTCTTAACGAAAAGAATTACGAACTCTTACGGATTCTAGTCCACCTATTAGAAACTAGTAAAGACCCACTTGTTCTTAGCGTAGCTAGTTTCGACATCGGTGAATATGTACGCCATTATCCACGTGGCAAGCAGTATGTCAAAATCTATAAAAATGCCGTATTAAATTCTATTTACAATTACCATTTGTTAAAATATTATTTCGTTCTTTTTAGCATAATTGAACAACTTGGCGGAAAACAGCGCGTAATGCAACTTCTTGGACATGAAGATCCTAATGTTAGATACGAGGCTCTTCTTGCAGTACAAAAACTTATGGTACATAATTGGTAAGTTTTAAAATTAAAAAAAAAATTTACTTATCTTTTATTATTTCATGTACACATAATATCTTAAAGCTCCTAAGTACTCGATCAAGAACTCCACATTGATAGGGGCGACACCGAATCAGTCTGCAGTCTGGCGAAATCGGACACAATGTACGCACGCGCGTACAATGATATAAAAACAAGAGTATGCTTTTGCCTATACTTCTGAAAGCGTCAATCAGGAACCAAGCTTACATTATATTGAGCAGCAAATTTGAACAATAATAAAGTGATTAACTATTTTACTTAACAGTCGAAAAACTTATGTCATTGAATCGTAATCGATTTATTCTAACTCTACATGTATGACGTAAGCCACAAAAGTGGTGGGAATGCGCAATAGTCTAACACGATACAATACTCTTGGCTTTATATCATGCTCAATCCAAAAAGGAGCACATACATGAGCTCGTACTGGTGTATGTGTCGGTATCACACTAGCGATTGCAAATTACGTCTACGTTCGCGTCTTCTGACCAAAAAGCTGCAGGTCAGCAGGTTTTTCTGATTGGTAAAAAAATGTAATCGCGAACCCCCCCCCGACATAATCCAATTGTTTGTATGATACTGATATTACAACGTCTCACTACGATAAAAAGCTCAACTCTAACAGGCGTGAAAAGTGATGTTTTGACAACGAAATTTTCTTTTGTATGCCACTTCCTTATAGGCTTAATTGTGAAAATGTGATTTGTCTCATGAAAGTCTTAAAAACAGGCAACAGAGACTACAATTATCTTGGAATTTCATACGTAAAAACATACTTGTATTTTTCACTTGTTTCGATAAACGTTAAACCGTGCATTTTCCTACACGTATAGAGGTTTATTTTACATGCCTTTTGCAATCATTTGTTGACTGTCAACGGAGGAAAGAACAGTTTTCGTCCATTTTTATAAATGTTTTAAAGTGATAAAACTCGTTTTGATTTATCCAATTGTTTTCATTTAAAAATGACACGCAACATGAATAAACGTGTCATTTCTCGTTTATGATTCCAACATAGTGGCAGCAACTACTCAGAAGTCCTATTTTTTAATGTAATTATAATTTCGTAAATATTTCTCAAATTTGTCTTTATTTTCTAGGGAGTATCTTGGAAAACAATTAGAGAAGGAACAGACAGGTGCATCTGGAGCACCTACCAACAAGCCTGGAGCACAAGTACCAGCAAAAGCTTGAATATTTGTGCAATTTACACAAATTTTCTGATTTCAAGAAAGTTTCAAGAGTATTATAATTCACGTAATATAATTTATCATCCGCTTATTGTAAATTATATCAAACTCAAGATATATACATTCCCTTCTATACTGTAATATTGTAAAAAAAAAGATATATTGCAAAGTTCACTTTTCCTTTGTGCAAATTAATTTTTGCAACATGATAGAATTATGTGTATATACAGATATTTTACATCGCGAATATAAAGTATATACAAGTCGGTGTAATAAACTTTGTTATATAATATCTTAGCTTTATGAATAGAATTTGTTCTCTGGTATTTTAGAAAAAGAAAAATAAAATTTTATTTTGTTGAGAAAAACTATACGTAATATTATATATACACGCACATTTCACACAGGCATGTCTCGCAATTATTTATACCCGTCTAAATTTCAATTTAATGTTTATATTGCAGGACGCTAATTGTATTAAAAGAAATTTAAAGATATAAGGTACTTCAATTTCATCTACGGTATCTTCTTCACCACATAGACGACATCTTTTATCGTTATCATCACTTCTATTTGTCACTGTTATTTCTGGTCCAAGTAAAGAACCGCACTTATGACATGCTAAAGTCTGCAAATAAATATTTATTTTAATCAGATATTTGTGATCAAATAATCAGATCTGATATATGATCAAATTATGTATAGATACCATAATGCTTAATCAGTCTATACGACATATTTAAAAAAAGGGAAGAATATAATAAAAAAAAATTATATCTTGTTGCTTACCGTTATTTTATCAGAGCAATGAAAGAGACGATCTTGAAGAAGATATGAGCAACCATGAGAAATCAAAGCATCTCGCTCCATCTCTCCAAATCGAATACCGCCACCGCGTCGACGACCTTTAATAGGTTGCCTCGTTAACATATCAATCGGTCCGGTACTTCTTACCTGAAAATAAAATATGTTTAGCCTATTCCTGTTATAATTAAAAAAAAAAATAAAGTCGCTTATCATTACGCTATATTTAAAATATGTAAAAAAAAAAACAAGACAAAACTAAACCAGCCAAATAAGAATGGCAATCAAAGTGTAAATACACAAAAAGAAACATAAAATAAACATAAAAAATCCTCTAAATAACAAGCATCAACTATAACGTTCAAAGTTGGATATATTGAAATAATAATTTTATATATAATTTATATTAAATATATTTACTTTAGATGTATACACGTCGATTACTTTCGAAATAGAATTATTACTTCAAAGTATAACTTTAACTGTAGTTGATGTTTCTTAGTTAATATTTATTCATATGTCGATCTCGTTTCTTATTTATTATTATGAAAAATCTTATTCTTATAAAATGTCAACATAAATTAATTACCTGCCACTTATCAGAGACCATGTGTCGTAATCTTTGATAATGCACAATGCCAAAAAATATGCTAGCGTTCATCTCACATCCATAAATGCCTGAATACATTCTTTCAGTTCCATAATAATTGTAACCACCCAGTTCTAATAATTTTCCAAAGTAGTCCACAGCCGTGTTCTCTTCGTCAAACCTAAACGGCGTAGCATCGTGAACCAATCCATGTACAGCCGCTGATTTTCCTGCCATCACTTCGATCATCATAGCTACGAAAATAATGGTTATCGCTTTATTGTAAAACTGTTAACACTGAAATTATATCTAAATTACGTATTTTTTTTAGTAATTTCTTATAAGAAAATTAATTTTTAATATTACCTATCTGAATACTTATGTTAAGGACAGATCAAATTGAAAACCACAATTCATCATTATATTATTCTAATAAAATTAATTTTCTAGCTCACCTATTGTCATACGACTTGGGAAACCATGCGGATTGAATATAATATCGGGGATCATTCCAGTCTCTGTAAACGGTAAATCCTCGACAGGATATAGTCGTGAGAGGATTCCTTTCTGTCCCGCTCTTGACGCAAATTTATCTCCAACGGTGGGATTTCTCTAAAAATTTGAATAAAATACAAATATTCAAAAATATGTTTTATAATTATATATCTGCGCGTATGTATACATTACTTATATACTCGTATGTATTATAATTGTACCAACAGGAATACGGAATGTAATGCACACTCTTCGCGGATCTTGATTGTTTAATGTACCACACAGCTTTATATTGTCGACATAAGCGTTTTCCGTACTTCTATATTTTCCAATTACATACTTGGCATTATCAGCATCGTAATAACTGTCAAATGCATGAGATTTTAGAATAGAGACCACAACTTGATAATATTGAAGCTACAAGAGATACTTACGAATAATATGCATCTCCTTCTTTAATAATAATACGTAGTCTAGGTAAACCATCAATATCTATTGTTTTCTCAAGATCAGGTCTCTCTGGATCACGGGCAAAATAACTCTTTTTATCATTCAAATCGACAAACTCAGACTTATAAATCGTTCCATGTCCAAAACCACGTTCATATGCAGACTTGTTGATAACCATTGCATCTTCCATATCATATCCCTACACATCAATGTAATTATCAATGTAGAATCAAGAAATAATAAATTATAGACAAAATTAGAGCTTTTCAAGAGATCGGATGCTGTTTAAACAACTTCTGATTGGTCCGTCCATATTTTGCAGGACCCGCTTAAGATAAACTAAAATAAATCAGGAAATGGAAGAGTTACTTTTTATAATAACAATTTGCTAATAACGTTACAATTTTTATGATTATAATAATGACTAAGTGTTAAAATGGTATTAAGGTTGGGAAAATCACTTTAATTTAAAAAATAACTTGAATCATTACGCATTTATTCTTACTAAAAAAGGTAATTTGTAACGAGTAGCGTTATTCATTACTCGTAATAAATAATTTGTAACGAGTTACAAATGAGTTAATTTTTTCATTAACGAGTGACTTTTCCAATTCGTTGAAAGTAACGATCAAGTGTCTTTCCAACTCTGGGTATCAATCATGAAACTTTTTTCCTAGAATGAAAAATGAAAAGTGAAAATTTTTACCATTGTAGTTAATGGAGAAATTTTTCACTTTTCATTTTCCATCCTAGGGAAAAAGTTTCATGATCGATACCCTGATGTTATCGTTACAATCACAAAAAAATTCCAAGTCATTGCTAAATCGTTGTTATTACAGCAGAGTAACGATAACGAAAGTAACGGCATTACTTACAGATAACTAGTTATTTCCATTCCCCGAAATAAATACACAAAATAAAAGGATATCTTATGTTATCTTATACATAACACTTATCTCAATTATTCCATATTAAGTAGGTCCTGAAAAAAATATGACGGACCAAATATATGGTATCTAATCTCTTATTTTTGAAATCTCTAGATAGAATCATGAATATTAGAAACGAAGTATTAAATAACAAAATGTAAGATCACCGTGTATGAAATAACGGCAATTATCGCATTAGTACCCATCGCAAAATCATCCATGTTAATATTATCGTAATGTACCGGCCTAAAGAGTGGTGTGGCAGGCGTTTGCAACCTGTACATTTTCGTCTGTGATTGCTGTTGCCAATTATGGCACGGTGTAGCCATTGTTTGTTTACCCATCTGTGAAATGAATAAAAAATTGATATTTCAATCATTGTATTATTATATAATGTATTGACAATCTGTAAGATTTAGATGCAAATCAAAAGTTTTAATTTTTTACAATTATATTATTTTTAATATCTTTCAAATGTAAGTGGCATTCATATTTGCAAATATGGACAGTAAATGTTGAAATATTATAATTATTTCAATATATACAGATTTACCTGACATTGGTACATATTTCTTGGACTTTGGTTACAATCTGGCAAAGGAATGAGATTAGCTAAATTACTAAAAATTGTTGTCTGGCTTATTTCTTGATGAGTTGTTAACTAGTAAAAAAAAATAAAATTATCACATTAATTAGAGATTAAATCTCACAAAAGTATAAACTTATTTTTATATTTTGTGTTTTTATACTATTTATACTTTGTGTGTATACATTCTTTAAATTTCTTGGAGTGAAATCTCACTTCAAAAGAATTAAAATACTGCCACTATTGAAAAAGAGTAAAAAATTAGCATTCTTAAATGGCAGATTTTCACTAATTTTTTTAAGTGAGATTTCACACTTTTAGAATAAGATTTACTGCAAAAAAGTAATGAGATTTGTTTTCTTTGAAATAAATCTCATTCAAAAAAAAGTAAAAAAAAAACATTCTTATTCAAGAATTCAGAGAACAAATATATGATTTTACTCCATCATATGCTTCTTGAGGGTTCACACAAATCTCCAAATAAATTTGCTCAAATGTTCCTATAAGTTCAATCTTCTGCGTAGCTAAATTTATCACTGGTCTCATCATCCTAGCTGCATTAGTAAATAAAAATAACCCTGGATACTGAGCTGGAACATTTTTCTTCAGTACAAGTGCAATCTCCAATGTTGACGGTATCTAAAGAAAAAATATTTCAGATACCATACACACAGTTGTTATAGATCAAACACAAAAAGCATTATATTTATAACTCACTTCTCGGCCCTTTATCTTAAGTAATCTCAACTTGTGTACTACTTTATTAATAATTTTGTCCTCAATCAATCCAATCAATTTTCCATCTAACATTACGTTATACGAATTTTTCCAATCGTCCGCGATAGATAACGGAATCATTCCGAGATCTACTAATACTGCAGGTATCATGGCTTTTAATTTTGGATCTGCATGTTTTGTGATGATACAATTCATTGTCAAATGATTAAGTAATCCGCATGGAGTACCATCCGGTGTATGAATCGGACAAATATATCCTATAGATTAATATATATTATAAAAATCTTAATAGCTGCGATATGTACAGGGTATATACGAGATCTATGGAATCACCTCTAATGAACAGGTAGATCGGACTGAGTCAAAAAGCTTTCTACCATTCTGCAATTTTTGCAACAGTACAATACTTTTTAATTCAGTCTACTCTACTTGCTCACAAGATTTCGTAGATTTGGGACACTGTATAATTACAAATATTATAAATTATTTGTACTATTTATTTCAGAACTATTTTCTTTATAATCTTTATAATATCTTTATATTTATTATTGTAAAATTACATCAAGGTTTGTATAATAATTACCCCATGCATCAGGCAACAACTGTCTAGCTTCAGTAGTCCTCATTTCTTGGAAGAACGCGCCTCTATGTATTGAACGAAAATGACTCATATAACGCATTCTATTGATATTTTCCACAACAATCGTAAAACCAGTGGTTTGCATAAGTCCTAAACCACTAGATGACCTTACACTTCCAGTAGATAAAAAATACTCCATTTGTGAGTCAATGTTGCTTCGAAATTTAATAACCTTCAACATTTCCTCTAAATATATTTTTCTTAATGAGTGAAAAATGTATTTGGTTTAATTTTTTTTACAACGCTAATATTACAAATAAAATACTTACGCACACTTAAGGCATATCTATTACCAGCACTCTTGTC